CTAGTACAAAATGAAACTTGTTATTGGGTGAGTTCCTTGGTTTCAGTGTCACCAGTGAGAAAACTATCAACCCTGTCATCATAATGTCAAATTCTGAAATTAAATATATCACAAAATACAGTATTTTAGTTAAATGAGTCGCTAGAGGGAAACATCATCCGAAAAGTCCAGTTACCAGTACAACTGTTAGTAATGTTGATCGTGAGAATAGCATTGAGAACGGTAAGTACTGATGCAGTTTGTTTGGAGAAAATCTAAATGTACTCAGACCTTATAATCAGTCGTTTTTTTTTTGTTTTTTTTACGTAAGTGAACATTAATATGTTAATTTTATTTGTTCGTACTGTAAAAATAGGTGTAGACTAATGTGAATACAAAATTAGTTCATAATTGTTTTGATTATCATTTATGTCAGTGTCGAAGCAGATGTACTCTGGTTTCAAGTTAAAATAATGACGAACGTTTGGTTAAGTTAGTTAAAAAAGTTGGTAAATTTGGAACATTTCATCTTTAATACGAAAATATTAAACCAAAGAATGTTATATTATTTGATGCATTAGTTTATTTTCACTTACTTGATACAGAAAGAAATGAGCATCTGTGTTTTACTTTTTTAATAAATTAATTCAGACTTAGAGATTAGCCTGATACGGTGACAGTAAGCAAATAGCTGAATCAATCATTCAGTGTCCATTGAATAGTAATGTATGTAAATTAGAACAGCTTTACAATTTTAAATAGCATAGTATTTAGTTTCGTTTAGAGAAATTAACATGTTTCCTAGTCAAACTATCAAATGCTGTGGATGATTGGGATTTGAAGCATGGTAAAACTCACATAAGCTCACCTTTAATTCAATATTTGTTTTTGTACAAAAGTATAAGAATTCATTCAGTATTATCTTTATAAGGTTAATTCAGTCATTCCATTGCCAAGATGCTTATTAAAGTAAAAAACAAACAATTATATAAAGTTATAACTGTGCCTTATTTTTTCATAATTCTTTTTTTTTTAATTCAACAACTACATCTCATTTTTTGTTAAATTCTGGTATCTTGCTTCAAAACAGTTCGGCTCATTTCTTATCAAATTCTAGTCATTTTTTACGTGTAACTCATTCTTAATGAACTGTATTTTTTATATAACAAATTCTTTACAGTTCCAGTAGTGTTCTTTTAAAATACTTATTCCCTAATACTTTTTCATAGGAGTTGATAAGCTTATATTTTTCTTATTTATCCCTCAGTTACAACTGTTTTGTTTTTTTTAATTTGGGTAGTTTTTCATTAGCAGCCTTGTCAATGGTCATACTTTGTGCAGCAAGGGTACTACATAAATAGATGGAGCATGAGAGGTATTATTCCCATTAGTTATACACCTGATGGGGATAGTAATTTATGGCTGCCATACACTATGCATCATTTTTATTTCACATGTTTATTGTAGTATTTCTGCACTTGAAGTCTATAAGTGCTACATTTTCTAGGGTTCGTATCCTCTGATCTCCATAGTATTATTATGTTTAGTTTTTGTGTGCACTTTAGTTATCTTAGGTGACTTTTTCTTCCTTCGTTTATATAAGTCGGAGGTATCAGTGGTAGTTTTTCTCCACAACTATCACCTAGTGTCAAAGGATTTTTCATTAGTGTGATAAGATGAAGATATTATGAAAGTAAAATATATTTATTTTATTTTTTCCAAGTTTAAAAATGTCACACAAAAACCTGTGTATTAACTTCGTAAGAAGCCATTTAGTATGGATTTAGTTACTTTATGTGGTAAAGGCTAGCCTCAGTATGTACACATGATCAGATTATTCTTGAGTGATAGTACTTATACGTTGTAACTGTGCAAAAGAAAAAAATATTTATGTCAGGTTAAGCATGCATAGCAAACATACCCAACAGCTACAGTGGTAAGAAAGCAATGTTGGGTTAAGCATGCATACTAGACATATCCAACTGCTATAAAAGTTGGGAAGCTAGAATAAGTTTATATTAGTTAATAAACATAACCAGTGGTAAGTTTAGTGTTTGTTATGCCAGTCATATAAATTTTGTCTTGCACCTTTTCTTTACAGTTAGCCATATAGTTTTAAAGTCCAATTTCGAAAACCTAAGAAATAAAGACCAGAACTCAACAGGTTTTCTGATATTTCAATTGTATTTTTCAAAAAAACAGTTTACAATTCTTCCTGGTTGCTTGTACACTTTTCATAGTGAATTTTTTAACAATCCCTATGAAAATAAAGGCAATGTAAGAAACTGGAGAAAGCATATAGATTTAATTCAGTAATGTGACATAATTGTTTGTAGTACAAGATTTAAGTTTGCACAAAAAGGTTGTCAAAAACATATGAAGAAAAAATGATAACCATATGTTTTACCAAAATACCAATTAAGTCCTGTACATAGGTGAAAGTTAGTGACTTCAATAATTTCAACTCTGAATTCTGAAATATTTATCACTTTCTAAATTACACTGTCCTACTATAAAAATGCACAAATGCAAGTTGAACCACGTGACCAACATAAATATAATTGCCATGGTGATTATAAAAATCACTTCAGGGATGATTTGCAAAGCTATCTATTTGAGATTCTCGTATCTCTACTACACAGTGTTTAAATTAACTAGGAAAAACCATAAATCTCAAAATCAGATTTGTCTTGTATTAAAATTAACTTTCAAAAGAGGACAGGTTAAATATTAGAGAGAAGTACACGGAACAGAAGTTGAAACTACTGAAAATTATGCAATCTTTTCAGCCATCATACTGTTATACAATAAAATTAGATAAGTAAAAAAAAACCTTTTTTTGGGAGATACAGATATCTAAGCTGTCAGTCTTTAAAATTTATTTTTTTTATAGGCCAGAGCAATATAGGTTTTTCTGCCTATTTTTTTGCAAATCATCCAGTTTTTCAACATGAACTATTCATAAAAGCACAATATTACTAGGACCAAAATTTCATTTAAGTTTTTCAAAGAATACTTACCAATTTATTAGGCTCTTGTTTTTGGTTTTCTTTACCATTACAGTGATGAATTTTATTTTTTTTTCTTCTCCTAACTCCCTTATATTTTTCTGAAAAATAGTACACATGTATGTATAGTTTGGGGTTTGGTGAAAAATACAAGTTTTATAGGTTCACTGGGAGGCCTGACATCAATGAAGACTGTACTTAACATATGACAAAACAATCGGCTTAATGCACCAATTGCAGCATCTCTCTCTCATTAAAACATTTGCATCATCAGTAGATTTATTTGAGATTTCAGAGAGGTTACGATCATAAATGATAATTCTAATCACTTTTATCAACAAATATAGTAAGTGGTAGCTAATATCTGGAGAGTTAACTGATGGAATGAGCCTTCTTCATAACCAAACTGGCATTCACGAAGTATTTACAGAGTACAACTCACAACCTCCAATTTTACTATTGCATAAAGGCCCCCAATTCTTAAGGTACAGAAACTTTAGAGGAATTGAACAGTTTTCTTAGCATTATAAAAACAATTTTAAAATACTTTAGTCATTGCTAAAGTGCTGCATTATAGAAATAAGGTGGTTGGTCCACAAGTTTATTGTATAGCACAGTACACACAAGAACCCTTAACCCTAGAATGGCAGTATAGGGTCATTATGATCCCATACAAGTTAAATCTGTATACTAATCATGCTGGCTGGCATTCTTGGGTTAAGTGATACCCTCTAATCAGCAATAAACTACCATTTCTGTGGGACTTATGCAATTTGTAATGTGACTAGACTTTTGTTAATTACATTCAAAAATTGGAAGAAATAGACTGGTGATCATAATGGATATTGTAAAAAATAATTAATTGACAAATTCAGAAGTAAACTATCATATTTGTGAGACTTTTACAATTTATAATATGACTATATTTTTGTTGTTACTTCTGATAATTTATTTTTCCTGTAAAAATACTATTTGGTAATATGCAAAACAGAAACTCACTAAGCAATATTTACAGTTTTCTTATAAAATCTCATAACTAAGTTGAGTTTATTTATAACTTAAATTCCTAGTAATTATATCCTCTCCTTTTTTAGATAACTATCGGTTTTTGTTTTGTAAAATTCCCTTGTTCAAACTTTGCAGTTTTCCACATAACATCAGTACTGCAGAATGTTTTATCTTGTTGTAAGAATTGTTATTTCCCTTTAATCTGACTTAAAAAGTCTTTGTGTTATCTATACTTTATTTTCAAATATAATTAAAACAATTTACAGACAGATGGAAACAACAACCATTTTTTTCTGTTGTATAACTCATCAGTTTTTACCCAAACAATTCAAACACATGCATACTTTTCCAAAATTCTGCTTTAATATAGTTTATTATGGAGACAGAAACTCTCTGTAGCATATAAAGGTGATTCTAAATGCAGTATAGATCCCAGTCAAATGTGCAAATACGTGTTAGAAAAAAGAAAAAGTGTGAAACCTTAGCATTCACCAGCGTATAAGGAGGTTTGTGTTATTGTAATTGGGACAAACACACATACATATATTGCAATACTTTAAGCAAAAATATGAAATAGTCACACAGTTTACATGTAACGTCACATCAAATGGCTTTCTTTCTACAACCGTGAATATAAATTGTTATATTTCGTAACAGACAATTGCCTAGTGTCAAAAACAACAAGGTTAGCAAAAGACATTATCAACAAAACCTAGTATTTCATTTTTCAACCACCACATGAATTTGTGGGGGCACATAGTCGTTCTTCTATTTACCATAAAAAATTTGTACAATATGATCCATCTGCATTTCAGTTTTTTAATCCACCACACATCACCATATCTGTCGAGCTGGAAATGATGAAACAGTAGAAAGTATAACATGATGAAATAAATCAATAGACTTTAGATACTTGCACCAGCATTACAGATGTGAATATCAATTATGTCTGCACTTAAGATAGGTCATTAAGAAAACTTCTTTTAAAGCAGCAAATACATCAAGCTTTAAGACGGAGACATCTGTTATCTTCACACAAGAAAGTTTCATTGTAGTTTTATAAGTACAACTACAGCAGTTGGCAATGTTTCTTCACTGGCTACGTGCCTTTAGCCCCAGTAGTGGTTGCTAGTGAGATTCTAGGGGTTGTTGGTCTTACCAATTCTTCTTCGTATCTTTGCTACGGTTGCTGTGGTGCAGATGGAGAGTTGTACAACCTGGTGAACCAAGTCATTCAAGTTTTGTAATGAACAGTTATACCAGAATAATTATTTTGCAATAAATGTTTCACCTATTACTTGAAACTGAATAGCACTTTTTAAAAAAATTAAATATTCTTAATGTAATATATCCCAAAATAGAATAAACTCTTTAAACCCATAATTTTTTGTGAATTCTGTCCTAATAATTATCACCATGTCTTTATAAAATTTAAATTTGTGGATATGGTTTCGATTAGTTTTCAGCCAAAGAGACGTAAATGTTATCGGAAGCTGTCACCATCCAATGGATAAATTGGGATTTTTGGGCAGCTGCTGGAAGTGTCCACTCGGGTTTAAGGAGTTAAATCTATTGCCTTGAAACTATATACAGACATAAAACAATGTTGAAATGTACAAGTGAGACATATAAATAAGTCATAAACAAGGAAAAATTGTAACTAAAAAGTATATTTATTATTAGGACAACACATTATTTCTGAAAATATTAAAGAAAAGCAAATAATTTGTACAATACACAAGTATTTGCTTTAAACAGAGCAATACGCCTTGTTTTTATGCTTCCATAAATTTATTGATGTACAACTGTGAAATGTTCTTTTAAATTCCCAGTATCACTCCCCACAATTCAGATACATTGTTTGTTTGCCAATTGACCTTATCAGTTTCTATGTGTGCCCAAACAGTGTTAATCATATTAATATTGGAACTTTGTGCAGGTTAAGCCATGGTTACAAGTGTTCCATTAGCCTCCCCTTCTTTCTTTTTTTCCAGGTATCATTTCACCATATTTGCTGCATGCATGGGATCACTGTTTTGCTGGAAAATGAATTCTTGTCCAAGAGGTCTTATTTCTAAAGGAATGATATGACGGATAAGATTGTGCATGTACCTATTCGAATTCAGGGTGCCATCAATTTTGCATAGTTTTCCAACAACACTGCCCGAGATGTAGCCCACACTTGTACTGGACCCTCAGAATTGTCTCACTCTAGATATTGGACATTCTCTTCTCTCCCATTGAACAAACTATCTTTGATTATTACGATACAATTTTAATAAGATTTATCTGTAAAGAGTACCCAACTTTAGCTCTGATCATCCAATTTCAGTTTATTGGTTGTCTCCTAAGCAGTGGTTTTTGAGCAGCTACACATCCACTGAGACCAAAAATGTGCTAATATGTATCTTATTGTTCTGGAGGTGACATTCATACCTGGACATATAGCTATCTCTATTGGGTTGTTGTGTATCATGTAAAGAGCACCCTGAATTACTTAACATCACTTTTTAATAGTTTGGGCTTTCTACCTTGACCACTTCTATTATCAACAGTACTAGACTCAATAATCCTTCTTCAGAATTTCCATACACAAGATTTAATAACTCAAAAACAAAACTAAACCTACCAAGAAATCATGAATCTACTATCACTGAATGTTATGGAGATTAACCCTATCAGACCTTGTGGAGTTTTCTGCTGCTCAATAGGGAAATTGCATCAGTGAATTAATTAAATTAAAGAAATTATTCAAAGCCTTTTTCAACTTTTGTTTTTACATATTGGTATAAATTTAAATGTCTCTACTAAATTGTTTTATTTAATTATGTTTAAAGAGAGTTTAGAAAAAAAATCCAAAATATGTTTTAGGCTGCAAATAAGTGCCCTCTATAAAGTAAAACAATAGTCTTTGGAAATTTTTAAAACTTCACCATAATTACAGCTATGTATGCCATCTATGATCAATATTCCAACTATTTAGGACAGCTTAGTCTATAAATCAATGCTCCTGAGCACATACAGTTTTAAACATTTTAACAATGTATGCCTCAATCGGCATGATCTGATGTAACAATCTATCTCATGTTCGACAAATGATAGGATGATAAACTAAGCACGTGATGACAGCCAATTTTATGTGCTTTGAAATGGTATACAGAATGTGTGATTGACACTAGTACTTGTGAAGTAGTTGAGAGATATAAAGAAGGAAGACAGTTTGTAACAATATTTGACATAAACATCTTTGATTTTAATTAATTATTTATTTATAACCTCTAAGAACATGATATATCATTTAAATATTTATTTTAATTATTATATTGTGGTGTCAACTCAAAATAAGTATTTTTCTGGAACAAAAATTTATTTATGAGTGTTATGCTTAGAAAAATTTAGCTTCAATGATGCCAAATGCAAGACCTTAGAAGTTAATTAGGCTAAGCGAAAGATGTTCTGTGTATGTTACTGGCAAATGAACACTTATTCATACTGTTGACATGGTTGTTTTATTAGCTTAATAGACCTTAGGGTACAGTCAAAGACAAATTTTAAATAAATACAAGTGAACTTATGGAACAAGTTTAAAAATCAGTTAAGTGTATGCGAGTGAAATCCTAAATAAGAATAAAAAATGCATACTAGCTTATTGTTTTGGTTTGTTTAGAAATATTATTTTTTGTTCTTATATAATAATTGTGCACAAAAGGAACGTTAGTGACAAAAAAACTTAAAAATAGACAAAATTTATACCTTATGGAATAATAAAATGTTATTATGGATCTTTAGAATAATGTACTAAAACTCGCTCAAATGTAAGTATTTTACTTATTACTTGTAAGAACCATTTCCTAATACAATTTTCCCAAGATTTCAAAAATGATAATGCACAAAAACTAAATATATCAAAATTTGAGATTTTTTTTTCTTTCTGAAGCTGCATAAATTTCAGAAAATTCCTGTTAAGTTTCAAACAATTTCATCTACTAGTTTTATTTTTGGAATGAAGTATGATGAGAACTACATAACTTGCTGGGTCTGGTAGGGTTAAGAATTACCTGTTTCATATTTTAGAAATAAACTGTACTAATTTTGTTTCCAGCTCTCATACGTAGTATACATAATCTATTTTACTGTTTCTAGAAACTTCATTCAGGTATCCCAACTACAACGAACAGAGGAAATGACTATTATGCTTACATCAAACATTTGTAGAAGTCTCATACTCCAGAGGAGATTTTAAAAAAGATAGAAGGTCAAACTGTAGAGCTTTCTTGTCATTTAATCATCTTTAACTAGATTTGCATGCCACTTGTAAATAGTGGAGTAGGTTTGGGTTCCTGTTGCCTGTTGAAGTGAATCAGTTAACGCTATGCATTTGGGAAGGTCAAAGTGTGCATGCCGTAACCTTTTTACAGCTAGATCAAAATTTAATTAAACAATTTCATTATCAATTCAGCAGCTAACAAAATTGTTTAAGCCTAATTATAGCTTAGTTACAAAATCAGTTAAATTGTCGTAGTCTTGCGACATTCTGTTCTAGTGCATGATATATTTTGAGTTCTCAAATGCATATTTGACAGGAATTATTTTGTGAAGAACCAACATAGAATGAGAAAAAACCTAGTGCTCAGGAATTACATTCTAAAGTACAAATTACTGAAGTAGGCTTAAACTCTAATTTAAGTCCAAAATTTATTGCTTTTTATGCAAATTTTATATTATACATTTTTTAACAAAGTAGCTAAAATGTAAAAATTAGAAACTTTTTAGGTTAGATAACAAAACACGGATGAAAAAAAGTAAATAAGAAATTTCATGAGACCAGCCAAAGAAGTGGGTCTAAGATACAATGGGAAAAAATTTAATACAATGCCAACTGAGAATGGAAAGCCTAATATAATATGTGATGAAGAGAGCCATGTAGAAATGATCACCAGAGTTAGAAAAGCTAATGCCACATTTGGTAGACTCAGAAAACTGCTCATCAATAGAAGTACGGACATCAGAATGAGAGTTAGACTCTATAATTGTCTTGTTGTGCCTGTCCTGCTGTATGGTTGTGAAACGTGGCAGATGTACAGAAAAGACAAAAAAAGTTAAATGCATTCCATATGAACAGCCTGCGTCAAATATTGAAATTATCACGGAAGGATAAAGTATCAAACATTGAAGTGTACAGAAGAATGTGACCCGATGGATTTAGTCAGACAAAGATTATTGAGATGGATGGGTCACATCATAAGAGTGGATGACACAAGAATTGTGAAGCAAGTGATGAATTGGAAGATTGAAGGTGGAAGTAGAAAGAGAGGATGACCAAAACTCGCGTGGAAAAAATTTATTGAGAAAGACATCAGCAAAAGAACTATGATATGGGAAGAAAAGGAAAAGGTGGCACTGAATAGAAAAAATTACCAATGTACAGCACAATGTGTCAGTCAGGAAACACAGGATGGACTAAGTGTTAAGTGTAAATAAGCTCATGATAGGGTTCGATTGGCATTGTAAAGTAATAAAATTTAAAAAAAGAGATTTGAAAAGGTTAGACAGCTGAGGCTGTTAGGATAAATAATTAGAGTTGTATGTTACAATCTGTAGTCACTCTAGAAAAAAGACGATACTTTTTGTTTAAATTCATGTCTTTTAACTTTTCATACACGCTGATTTTGCTACAACTGGGGACATAAAGAGATAAAAAATCAACAACATTCAATTAGATATTTTAGAGGTTCTGCACGTGAAAACTATAAGCTGGAAAGAAGTACTTTTATTCTTAGTATGAAAATTGCTTTTCACTTATATCGACCCAGTACAGGTTTTGTAAATTCATAGACAAATTTTTAGTAAAAAGCTGATTTTTTTGCACAAAATTCTTGCAATGTTTATCAAAAGCTTGCTATATTTCATGAAGATACACTTAGTATATTCTGAGTTACGGTATGTATAATTTTATGGTTACAAGGATAGTCAAGCCCGTATGCATAGGATTAACTGCTTCAACATTGAAATATCATTAAAAGCTGATCAAAATAGGTCATACATCATGGAAATACCAAATTTTTTCTCTTGAAAGAATTAAAAAAGTTTCTCTTATTTAGACTGTATAACTAGTTTTGCAATGATTTATTTAAAGAGGTCTGCTAAGTTCATCATTTTAATAGAAGAATCTGGTTGCTGGCTAACAACCAGTGCACTGATGTGTTTGATGATTGTTATCAAATATTTCATCAGTGTGTAGAATGCAGATAAAAACCAGCCAAATTGTGCGAGTACACTACTTTAAGTAACTGTATCCCAGGAAATACATAATGCTCTCTTCAGTTTGTACATTAAGCTGTTTCCAATAGATTAAAAATATTGTACGAACGTTCTTTTGTAAATTTATTTTATTGTGAATAGAAAATCTACGATATGTAGCTTTCCTCGATTAGTAAATATTAAATCTTTGGTACAACCGGGTTATATGTGGTTCCAGTCACCGGATGCGATAATCGAAAGTAATCATTAAGTAGTTCACCAAATTTCCCACCAGGGTATGATGAATCTAAACAAATAATACAAAGGAAAACCACTAACTATTTGTCTTGTTGGTTTTGTGTAAAACGAAAGTAATCATTAAGTAGTTCACCAAATTTCCCACCAGGGTATGATGAATCTAAACAAATAATACAAAGGAAAACCACTAACTATTTGTCTTGTTGGTTTTGTGTAAAAGAGCGTGTAGTATTTAAACAAAAAGCCTAAAACACCATATCAAATAAAAGAAATGGCACCAATAGTTCTGTAGCTACACTTTTTTTTTATCTAGAAATAATTTACAATTTCAACTTTTTTCCCCACATTACTTTAGTACTTTTTAAAAAATTTTATTTTCAGCTCTTTTTATACTTTACACAGCAAATATAACAACAGATCCATGAATGTACAATTGCAACAAATTCTCATATAGCATTTGCTTAGATATTGACATTAATCTACTTTTAATTAAAGCTTTATATTGTGCTGTACAACTGACTTACAACTTTGCTTAAGTACTCTCTTTCATAATTATTACTGTTACCTAGCAACATTTTCCTCCACTTTTATTGTCCGAAGACGCGATCCGTACTTTATCCAAAACCTCTGTCTGATCCTTTCCAGCCAGTTGCTATAGAAAAAAAATTGATAATATATTACCTTTACACAAAAAGAAACATATTAAAGAAGGAGGTTTGTAAAAATTATTATGGATATGATGCAGATGTATTTCTTTAAGTTAAAAAGTCTAACCATATTTTTATATAATTGTGAGGAATTATAATACACAACATGAAACAAAGAAAAATAAGGTAATAATTTATAAGTTTTTAGTCAGCAAATTTTTGATAATTTAATATGAAAACACTTAAAATTGATCTGGTGTTAACGTCATGAAATTATTATAACTTATGAATAAAACAGAAAATACATTGCTGTTAAAGAATATGTTCACACTGAGAAATTAAAGATTTTTTTCCCTGTGCACCTAGTTCAAAGTGTGTGTGTGTGAGTTCTGGTATTACATTTTGTACGATGAAGGTCTGAATTCATCCTTGTATGAGTGTAAGCCAGTACAAAACTGTTGAAGTGAATCAGTGTTTATTATTTTGATAGAATACAAATAAATGACAAAATAGTTCACAAAAATGGATCACTAATTTATATCTAGGTGACAGACTCCTAATAATCATGCAGTATTGCTGCTTTCCACTGTATAAACATTTATTCCAGTATTTATATAATAAAAGCTAGATTAGTAAGTGTCACTCTGGGTGTAACAGGAGGAACTAGGTAACCAAGAAACGTGGTCCTAGACAGTAATGTGTCACTAGGACGACACCCATGCAATGATATATAACACTTCCAGTAAGTATGGATGTCGTGCTCAGCTGTCACTCTGGGTGTAACAGGAGGAACTAGGTGACCGAGAAACATGGTCCTAGACAGTAATGTGTCACTAAGACAACACCCATGCAATGATATATAACACTTCCAGTAAGTATGGATGTCATGCTCAACTGTCACTCTGGGTGTAACAGGAGGAACTAGGGGCCCGAGAAACGTGGTCCTAGACAGTAATGTGTCACTAAGACGACACCCATGCAATGATATATAACACTTCCAGTAAGTATGGATGTCGTGCTCGGTTCTCTTCAATATTACTGTAATCAGCAGAACCACATTAAATCACACTTGATATAAAATTATTGTATAAACATTAACGTAGCCTCATCACGATAACATTTAACTCATCTGCCTGCTCTGTATTGTAAAAAATCCTGGTCAAAACATTGTATATTTTTATCTTCATTGATTGGTCCTTCAAACTGTAATAATTACTATACTTTACTCATACATATGTTAATTTAATTTTAAAACATACAAATATAATTTTATGGTACCTTATGTTCAGAAGTAGATAATATCATCACACAAATGTAAATGTTTCATTATTGTGTTAACATACTGTACCTAAGAATGTAAAACATGCATCACAACAATGGGTGAAGTGGGTATGTTAACACAACAATGGGTGAAGTGGGAATGTAAAACATGCATACTAGGTACAGTATGTAACACAACAATGGGTGAAGTGGGAATGTAAAACATGCATACTTAGGTACAGTATGTAACACAACAATGGATGAAGTGGGAATGTAAAACATGCATACCTAGGTACAGTATAATAACACAACAATGGGTGAAGTGGGAATGTAAAACATGCATACTTAGGTACAGTATGATAATTGTACCTAGGTATGCATGTTTTACATTCCCACTTCACCCATTGTTGTGTTACCATACTGTACCTAAGTATGCATGTTTTACATTCCCACTTCACCCATTGTTGTGTCAACATACTGTACCTAAGTATGCATGTTTTACATTCCCACTTCACCCATTGTTGTGTTAACATACTGTACCTAGGTATGCATGTTTTACATTCCCACTTTGCCCATTGTTGTGTTGACATACTGTACCTAAGTATGCATGTTATACATTCCCACTTTGCCCATTGTTGTGTTAACATTCTATAGATCTTCCATTAGTGCTCTCTCTCACTCATAAGTGTGTGCTTTCATGTCTTATTGGTACAGTGTGCAAAAATGAACACGAGAAGGAATGGTTGTTGATTGTATGAAAACTTTTCAAATAATTTTTATGTGAAGTGTTTTTTATGTCCTGATCTAGGGACTAATGTTCTGTTTTTGTGTTTTATAGGCCCTGATCTGAAACCTGTTGATCTATTGGATGTTTTCTTAGTCCTGATCTAGAAACTGTTGTTCTGTTGGGTGTTTTCTAATACCTGGTCCAGAAACTGTTGCTCTGTTGGATGTTTTTAAGACCTGTTCTAGAACCTGCTGTTTTGTTGGGGGTGTTTTTTAACACCTGATCTAAAAACTGTTGGGTATTTTCTAACACCCGATCTAGAAACTGTTGTTCTGTCGGGTGTTTTTAGGACCTGGTCTAGAAGCTCTCTTACTAATATAATATCATAAAGTAGGGTTAAAGTTTCAAGGTCTTGATCATTGTCAAATAAACATTTCAGTGAATTTTATGCTAGTCTGTGGAAATCATAAATAACATTATATTGTATTTTTCTGTGATATTTTTCTTGTCAAAATGAACAGTAATTGTAACAAAATGCTATTAAAGTACCTTTATTTTTTGATATAGTATATTGTAATATAATTGTTATACACATATATTACAATTAGTTAAATAACTGTAATTGCATGGCTGATTTGTGCTACATATTTTATACCTAAGAAAACAATTAATTTTAAATGTAACTGTGTTTGATTCAGTACTGGCCTACCGTCACAGTGAGACAAGTTTGATTCCTGTGTAAGTCTGACTTTAAACCTCACTCACTCTTTAAAAAATAATGATATACAACTTACCTTACTCAAAATTGCATCCGTGAGCTCGAGAAATGCTCTTTCAATGTTAACATTTGCTTTTGCACTGGTTTCTAAAAATCTAATCCCGTGCTCTCTGGCAATCTGCAGAAAGTACAATTTTGACTGATTTAATTATAGTGTTATAGGGAGAAAAAAATAATTAGTACACTGTTAACTCTTTCCGTATGGCAGGATGAAAGTGTGCATTTCATGACCTTTTACAGTTACCTTGAAAATTTAAATAAACAACTTTATTATCAATGCGTGTCAATAAACTTGGCTTCAAAACAAAATTTATATTCAAACTTTTATATTAGCTAATTCTCAATTTTTAATTTCAAAAAGAAATATTTAAATAAATTCTCAATATTCATTTCTCTCTCTCACATCATCTTGCACTTTGAATTCTCCTTTATATATTTTCTTTCATCCCTTATATGTATTTCAGAGTGTCCAACTAATTTGAAATACAAATACAGATAATGAAAGAACAGAATATAAATCTGAGCCATCTCAACTTGCTGGGATATCAATTGAATTTGTCAATCCTGCCAGAGAGGCTCCTCCCATCCATAGCTTTCAAAGTAGTTATCTAAACCATATATACTCATTCGACAGACATATTTGTAACTAATATAAATTAATTTTTCTTCAACAGCAATTTATTATAGCCAAAATATGTAGACAGTTGACTTCATTCCTTGCCTGTAATGGCTGTCATTCAGCTACGAGTGGCTAACAGAATTTGCTTAACCTATTTATAGCTTAGTTAGAAAGCCAGTTAACCCTCTCACTATGAGAAAGTCAAACTGAGCATGTCATGACATTTTAGAAAGTTACATTCAAAATTTAATTAAACTACTTTATTATCATTATAAACGAATAAACTTGGCATTAAAACATCAGATTTTAATATTACATAAGCTTTAAGTTCTTAATTTTACAAAGAAATATTTTTAAAAATCATCAATTTACCCTAGTATGAGAACTGTGGCATTTACTCTCTGGGCCTCTGAGAAGTATGGAATTTAATGTAAATTACTCATTATAATATAGATATTACTCATGCAAATCATAATTTGTATAGCCTTCAATCATTTGTTTACAGAGCCATAAACTAGAAAATCAGACTCACTTGCCACACTCATCAGTCACATCCTCTCTTTTACAAATTGCCAATAGCTCTCTCTGACATTTTATATCATGTTACTTATGACCAATAGAAAGCCAAAGTTTTAATTTATTAAATGATGTATTAAAATGTGTTGTTTTCTGTACAGAGAATTGACTATTTCGATTCCAGTTAAAAACATCTAGTAGGAATTGCATCAAAAAACTTAGCTGAATTTTTAAAAGGTCTTATTGCATAGTTAGAAAGTCAGAAAAAACACGAGTTACAGGACATTGTTTTCTTTGAATGTGTTATTATTCATGAAGATACACAAAGTGTTAAAAGTTATACTATGGAAACTGATTGTCAAAAAGTCTGTGTAATCCACTGAGCCCATAGCAAGAGGGTTAAATTACAACAGCTTTGTAACATTACAATGTAAATTCCTGACAGTTATTTTGGTCAAGCAGCACAGTGAGAAAAAATAGGGTTACTGAAACATGGCATCTGAGTGCAAACAACCCTCAACACCTAGAGAATAAATATATTTCAAAACTTCTTAGGTAAAAAAATTATTAAAAATTTTATGAGCTTACTAGCTCAATCGCTTGGTCAAACTTTGCCTTATCTGAGGGAGAAAATGTAATATAGGCTTCCACTGTGATATATTTTGTTAACACTTGAAATTGTGCAGATAATTAAATTGAAAATCTGGCAAAAAAAATTATGGATTCAAAGAAGAAGAAAATATATATTATTAATTTTATTTCATATATTTTTAACTTTCTATTTCTCTGTACATTGATGGTTTCATTACACTTAGTGTTATGGTAGGGGCAAGTGAGGAATAAATTATAAAGCTTTGGTCAGAAAAAACAATTATATTCATATAGAATGTTAGAGATTATACAAAGAAATATGAAAAGAAGTTATTTTATCCTTAGCATGAAAATCACTTTTCACTCAGACTGACACAGTAATGGCTTTGCAAATTCACAGACAAATCTTTAATATAAATATTTGATTAAAAAATTTTTTTTGTGTACACAACAGAGTTGCAATGTATATTAAAAGCTGCCAAATTTCATTAAGATAAACTTGTTAAATATTGTTTAATATTTCACACTTCCAAAGTGGGGTCCCCTGCTGCGACAGTGGAAAGTCTACAGATTTACAATGCTAAAATCAGGGGTTTGATTCCCCTCGGTGGACACAGCAGATAGCCCGTTGTGGTTTTACTATAAGAAAACACACATTCCAAAGTGGGTTAAACTGACCTGTTCATAAGGAAAGAGTTAAAGATCAGCTTCTCTTTAAATAAATTTAGATACAAATATTTATTCACTACTAATGGTAGTTCAGTCTCTTCAACACTGCTTAACAGAGTTATTACAATACTTGAAGTTGATGAAAATGTACTGGTCTCTATTATTCACTTGTCACCTATTTATCTAAAAGTGGTCCTTTATCTTTTAATAACAGAAATACACAGGTACAACTTGCATTCAATGTAGCTACAGTACAAAATTCAGAATAACTTCATTTGGATCACTATTAACCAAACCAACAACTTGACAAAGTAAATAATTTAGGTGTATATCAACAGAAGTCACATAATTATGAGATTTTTTTCTTTTTTTACCCAGAACTTTGTTACCCACTTGTTATCATCCACTTTCTTTCAGGATAATAGTTACTAACTATCAGATGAGTTTAGACATTCACTATGAAAAAATAGAGGTTACCAAATATAAAAAAAAAGAATCATTAAAACTGGGCAATTCACTCGATTACCTACAAGTGTCAATTACAATTAAATCAATTAATATCATAAAATAGTGTTTGCGGTTATTACAACTATCCAAGCAGTAGAAATATTGCCATGATGGTTTCTCAATATTAGTTTTTATTGATTATAATTACTTTCAATTATTCATCTTGTGATAATAATCAAGGAACTGAAGGTAATCTATTATCAAGCTTGATGATTGATTAACATATTCTACTATTCATCCAGCTTTAGAGCTCGTAGCTGACTGTATTCTTAGAAAGCTATTTTTACCCAATTCATGAGAATTAAACTTGCATCTGAGTAGGACAAAGTTTAAAATATAAATATATCAAGAATATTAACACTCTTTGGGTGTTTACAATTCATTTAGATTTGAACTAATGTTATTGATACAGGTGCAGTCTCAAGTTGAGATTAACTGAAAAATTTCACACTTGTGTTAAATATATCTGGATGTGTGACCTCTCTCTCAAAGACTTTTCTTTTTTCTGTTAAATTGGTTTCACGAAAAAAAAAATAGAGCTACAGAGATATAACACACTTGTGGACTTAACTGATTTATGAATATAATTATATGGTCCTAAAAATTAAGTGGTCTTTGCTATAATCCTGTCATGACTAGCTGGGTCTCTTGCAGTGATAATTACAAGATATACTTAAATGTTAAGCCTTGTCATTAAATGTTTTTTTACTGGCTAGATTACTCACTGCATCACCTCGTTCTTTACTTATCATCCTCTTGTCGCTCACGTCACACTTGTTTCCGAGAATCATCTTTTCTACATCTTCATTGGCATGCTAAATTTAAGTTAGAGATACTTAGATAAAATTATTTTCAACTGATATAAATATTTATACAGTGCATATATCCAAACCATTACCTCGATTAAACATGAGTATTTAAAATGGAAAGACACTGATTTAGACACAAAATGCCACTTGTTAACAAAATACAGATACAGTAATATATATATATATATATATATACAAAAATGTATGGTAAATGTAGGTAGTTGTGATGCACAAATTTGGTAAAAAAAGAACAATGAACATTTTGTAGGTGTGGTTTGTGTGTTGGAAATTTGAAATGGTTGTTTATGTTAAGTGTTACACCGTGGATAATGAAATATACGCCAGCACTTCATTTGATTGGATTTTTTATAGTATTAACTGATTGTTTGATCAGTTGTAAATCTGTACAAAATATTAGACACCTGACAGCATGTGAAACTCTTAAATTATGAATTACCTTATGTGACTAGAAATGTGAAACTCGTAACTAATTATTCTGTGAAAAAAAAATAGAAATTGGCCAACATGTGAAACACAATTAATGATTACTTTGTACAAAAAGACTAGATGTAACAGCATGTGAAACTTGTAGATTATTATCTTATACATAATACTAGAAATCAAACAGCACACGAAAACTGTAATTATTAATTAACTTTTACGAAAGACTAGAAATGTGACACCACAATACTTCTGCAGTGACAGTTAAGAAAATATCATTATTTACTTTCAGCTCCGACATATTTTTAACATACTAGTGTTTCCCTTTACTTTGTGAATTATATTAGATACCCTACATCATTTCAATACTGTACCGGTCTTATGGTTAACTTGTTTCCTATCTATTTGGTTATAATTATACAGGTACGATTCCCATGAGGTGTAATATTACACAGAAAAGTACAAGAAAGTATTAACTTACTTCATCAATGTTTCTTAGCCATTTTGCTATGTTGTCAAAACTTTTTGGATTTGTGATATCATACACTAACATGATACCCATCGCCCCTCTATAGTATGAAGTGGTGATTGTGTGGAACCTTTCCTGACCTGCAGTATCCCTGGAATAACAATTAGTTTTGCTGAAAAAAACTTGCAAAGAAATTGGGAAATAGTGCTCTAAACCTTAACATTTTGAATAACATGTGAAACTTTAGAAATAAATAACACATTAAATCACATGCCCACTATTCTTGATGCACACTATATTTACTATTTATGTTGGTGAGAAAATATAAGTTTTTTCTTTACACAGCTCAATGAATATTACATACTAAAACTGTTATAATGTTTAGATATATATGAAGCTTTTTCACTTCCTAAAACTTGTATTTTACAATGCTTGAAGATGGCTTGAATGGGTGATGAAGAAAAACTTTAATATAAGTTTAACATAACTTCGTAACCTGAATATAAAAATCATCAAAAGGAGCTGTTATGTTAAACTTATTTTCTTCATCACCCATTCAAGCCGTCTCCAAACATTATTAGTCTCAAAGTGGGTTCCTTGTCATCAAATTTAAATACAAGCAAAGCCTACAGGTAGATAGAGAAAGATATAATTACACATTTTGGAAAGACAACATTTAAAACCTTAGATTATGTCGTACATGGAACCACAGATTTTAAGTACTCAAGCAGTTAATGTTCAGTGTTTCTCGAAGGTAATCCAGAAAGTAGCTTATGAACAATGACAGGTACAATGTTCATGCCAAACTGATAGTAAATATTTATTCAATATACATCCAAAGCACATGAACTGATTTAAAATATTTTTCTATCTAAAATATGGCTCAACATTTTAAAATGAACCCTAAATATCAAAAGCATTAGGGTAACATTATTTAAAAACTTTTAAAATGCTTATGAGGTGCTACAACCAGACGAACAATATAACATTGCTCTTGCCATCTCTTAATCAAAATCTACTTGTATTTCACTGGCAATGGATTCATGATGGCAAAAAAGAAGTCTAATAATAATAATGAATGTGGTTGACAAAACATTCTATTTACAAGGTTCTAACGTTTCAGTTTGCACTTATTCCACCTTCGGTGAAATCTGAAAAATAGTGTTAGTAGTGTTTTTCTTTCCATTCACCACTTTACTCAATATCTAAGTAAACTAGTTATTAATGATACTATGACATTAGTTAACAAATATCTTTGTTGTAACACTATTAGAACCTTGTAAATAAAATGTTTTGTCTTCATCTTTATTATTAGACTGCTTGTATTTCAATTGATACATTCAAGAAACCACCATCAACACAATTGTATGATGTGTTTACAAATACCACTAATTTATTTTTTTCATTTTCCCAAACAGTATCAAAGAATTAAATAAAAATTCGTTAAAATTTTTACAAATACTTTCCATGTTTTCTATATTAGTCATAACTGAATATATAAGTTAACAAAATTTTCTATTTTTAAGTAGAATGAACTCGGGATGCTAATTCTTAATCGACTTCTAACACTGACACAAGGATTTTTCTCTGTTTTAACAAGATCATTAACACAAACAGGAGCTTCAAGTCTGTTTTGGAAACTGTTTATAAAATAATAATGTATTTGCTGCTTTCATTAAACCTTCAGGTCACACACTGATATAACAGCTGGTTCATATTTTGTACAATCACTTTTATATGTGTGCAAATAAAAAATACTTTTTGTTTGATGTTTTTCTTTACAAAATGGAATATCATTAGGCAGGGTAAAACAGTAATGTAGAATATAACTTTTAGTTGTTTTTATTGCACTGCATCTTGCTTTAGTTTTTAATTAATCTTTAGTACTTTATGTTAAAGGAAATGATGCAAGTAAGCTTCAGCAGATGCTAGAATTACAGTAACTATTTGAAATATAAAATGGTTCCCTATTTATGGTGTGAGCAGAATTTCACTTCTTAGTTCAGGTCATGAAAAAATAGTGGACTGCAGGAGCTCAGATACAAAAGTTTTGGATCAAATAGTGGACTGCAGGAGCTCAGATACAAAAGTTTTGGATCAAATAGTGGACTGCAGGAGCTCAGATACAAAAGTTTTTGGATCAAATAGTGGACTGCAGGAGCTCAGATACAAAAGTTTTGGATCAAATAGTGGACTCCAGGAGCTCGGATACAAAAGTTTTGGATCAAATAGTGGACTGCAGGAGCTCAAATACAAAAGTTTTGGATCAAATAGTGGACTGCAGGAGCTCAGATACAAAAGTTTTGGATCAAATAGTGGCCTGCAGGAGCCCAGATATAAAAGTTTTGGATCATTGATATGAGAAAATGACATCAAAGTTAAAGTAGTGAAAAAAAGTCTGCCAAGAAGTAGATTAAAATTAGAAAACTTATCTTGTAAGTACAGCATGTACATTTTACACTATTTTATAATCACCATAAAAGCCAAAATCCAAGGTGAAGGAATCACAAGTTTCACTGTCGGGCTTTTTGAGAAAGCTAGCTTTCACAAAGATACAGGTATCTTAGTAGCATAGTGGTTGAGACATTTGTCTCAGGATTGGAAAGTCAGTTTAGCTCAGGATGGCCAAACTATGTTGGTATGCACAACACAATGTGTGCTGTGACAAGGACTCCACATGTTTAGCATGGAGCAGTGTCATTAAATACTTTTCTAGCGTGTACGTTTACCTTACAAAGATACTATACAACGGTTCTAATTAAAATAAGATGGATTAGGCTATGAAAGCACTGTACTCACTGAGAGAAGAAGACATGCTGAAATTACTGACACCTTAATATTGTGGTAGTAGCAAAAATTAAGTTGCATTACTGACAAATGCTTGTACCACACCAGTTACTGACAATTCAGTAGTTCAGGATACTAAAAACTTAGTAATACTCAAAATTAATGCTGCATAACGATAGCAAACTTTCACTGCAAAGTACTGAATTCTACGATCAACGACAGCACTGTACAGCATCAGCTCCTAATTTTTATATTTAGCAAAGTACATTCCAATCACATTTGTCAGTTTTTAGCAAATTATGATGAATTACAGAGATAGATGGGTTAGTTCCAAAAGAATCTGTCATGTTCTACATCATAAAAGTGTTGGAAAATGTTCTCATTATGAAAGAATTAGCACAAAGATCACCAAAAAAGATCAGACACTTAAGTACTTTCAAATAGTTGATTATTCTTATTCAGGAAGAAAAAAGGCTAAAGAGTGTGAGGTAAAAAAACAAGAAAAAAAGTACATCATATGTACAAAAAGTGTTGACATGGGCTGGAAATTTTCACTGTCTAATACCACATCCTTCCTCATGTGTGATTGGCCAAATTATTTGTAAGTACTCCAGTTGTTTGGCACAGAGATGTATATTCATACAGAAGACCGAAAGTAAGGGATAAAATTAAGCATTCATTTTACAGACTGAAAAAAAAAAAAAGTTGAGAGTTATGTATTAATCTAACACTCAATTACAACATATTTTCTCACTGCTGCTAGATCCATGACACAAGAAAGTGAGTCCGTGGATTTCTAACCCATAGATACACTAATTCTAACTGTGTGGCAGTCTTTAAAGTCTCCTCAACTGTGAGACCATACATATCCTGAATACAGTAAGTAAGAAAAGATGATTTTGTGAAGCTGTGTTAATCTCCATAACAAAGTACATTTATAATAATAATGAAGAATTGTTAAGTACGACCTGTTTTAAATGTGAGAAGCTCTAAAACAGCAAGTATACAGCAGTACCAGAAATGTGCACAAGGTACCAAGATTATCTATTATATTATAATGGCACACTAAATGCCTTCTGCTGAAAACAGCTGATAGTGTTAAATCACAAGACACATGAAGTATTCAAAATTACCAAAGAAACTCTTCACTGTATTGATTTTGTAACAAAAATCTTACTTTAAATGTCAAATATTCTGTACAAGAAATGATAAAATGGTTATGCTTGATTATGTACTTGCTAAAATGAATATTTTCCGTATATATTTATGGAAAAAAAAATTCATTACTTTTTAAAACAGGTTTAAAAATGTGATAAAGTTCCTACAAATGTAGTTACTTTTAAGCATGCAAATGTTGACAGTTATGTATACATTTCAAGTTTTATAGAATCATAAAAAAAGATATAATGTATACTATAATGATTAATTAATACAATAGGAAACATCAACACTTTTATTTACGAAACTGGTGTTCTTTACCTGTCTATCGTGTATTTTTAATTTTATTTAGTGCAACATTAAAATACGGCTGTAACCTTACATTTTAAGTTACAATGTATAAACGTACACAGTGACATTTCTGTTTACTGGTGGATCAGCTGTAAGTTTAAGGACGTGTAGTAATAAAATCAGGTGTTTGATTCCCCAGAGTGGACAAAGCATTTTGTATCTTTGTGCTAAAATAAACACTTGAAACCTGAGATTATATATGCTTGTAAGAACCAACAGCAGCAAACTAAGAATACTTCCAAAATTATATTTTTTGCAGCCATTTTCCAGATTTCCTAAAAGCTACATATAATTTTATGTTGAAGTAATTATACTACGATTTTTGATAATGTATGTATGTCTTTACAAAATTTTGCAGGTTACTGGTAAACATTACAAGGCTTTTGTACACAAAATATCAGGCTTTTAAATTATGTATTAAGATTTTTTTAATTAAAGATTTTCTCATAAAATTTTGTCTTTCAGAATGTTTATTATCCAATATGCAAAGTAATTTGATTTTAAGATTAAAAATACTTTTATCCGTTAGAACAATTTCAAATTTCACAAGCGAAATGTTTATAACCTCCATATAATTATCTAATTGAAAAGAAAAACTTCATATTTTCTCTAATGTATCTCTGTATGGATTGGTTCGATTTGACCGACTTCGTTACCTCTAAGAAAAAATTAGGAAATAAATATAAATTATGCTTTTTCATTCTAGAATGCTACAGATTATAAAATGAAAACACAAATTTTTAGTCTAAATAGCTTAAATTTCATATCATTATACATTTATATTGACCTTTCTGCCATGCCTGAAGTTACAATAACGCGGCAAACGTGCACTCATGTTATCGTGTCCAAGAA